ATTTTGACCAAATTTAAAGAATTTAAAGTAAAGAACTTTAAAATTTTTTTGCTACAATCATTGCACCAATTTCATAGAAAGTTGAAATTATAATTAAAAAATTTTACTTGGTTTGTGATCTTGAGGGAAGGCCAATGCTAACAATTAGGGAGCTGCCAAGATTTATAATTTTTTTAAATTATAATTTTCCACATGAAGTTTTTTCGAAGAATTAATATATATGTTCAGAAGATATAAGCTTTGACATCTGAAAATACGGGCCCAAATGACACATTTTTAGAAAATTCACTTGATTAGCATGAATCTTAATACAATATTTGAATTGCAAATTTTTGGAGTTAAATTCATAGTCATTCAAACTCTGATTTTAATAAGCTTATGGTCAAATTGAACATATCGACGAGATGAACCCATTAACACCACTAATGGTCTGATGTGAGTCAAACTGAACCAAAATCAAGTATTGATCAAGCCTCATGGCATTAATTGAAAGATTAGATAGTCTCTAAATCTTGTGTGAGTTAAATCAAGTGGATCAACAAGTTGAATACAATAAACCCAAAATCATTAGATCCTAAGGTCATTATGATATTCAAATCATGACTAAATGATCTCTAGTAGGAGTGTAACTGAATCAAGCAGACTCTTGAGTCGGCTTGGGCTCGACTCTTTGGCGAGCTCGCAAGTCGAGCTTATCAAGCTCGTTGGGCTTATTGAGCTCGAGTTTGAACAGTCGTTCACTCGACTCGATTACTCGTCAAGGGGCTCGCAAAAAGCTAATAGGGTCGGGCGGACGGCTGAATGATGGGGGGGGAGTCGGACTGTTGGAGCTTGTGACGTGTGTGGTGGTGCGAACCGAGCTCGAGACAAAAATGAAAGAGGCATGAGCGGGGGGGGCCTATTAAGCTTCAATTATCCTCTTGTAGAGAATCGAATTTTGTAATCACTATAATGAAAATCAAATAACTGATAAGAACAAAATATGTATATTATTACTGAATTCAGCTCATAATTTTTATGTTTTAAAATTTTTCATATGAAAATTATAAAAGTACAAGTTAATTTTTTATATAAAAATAAAATATCAACTATTTTGTTATTATTAAAATTTTATTATGTGATAAAGATTTTTTTTAGAATAAAAAATCACATTGTTAAGAATTTTGGCTTATTATGCCCTTTATTTATGTTTTGTCCATACATGTAAATGCCATGCAATTCCCAAATGGGATCACAAGCTACCGAATTTGTCCTTGCTGATCGTTAGTCATTCGGCGGTTCGCTTCCGGCTTTCTACTCTTTGACACCTTGACCATCAAGATTGTGTTCAACTGAAAGCTGGCAACGTCACCACGTCGTACCCAAACACGCAAGCTGCTATAGCCACGGGTTCAGTTGTGGGTCAAAAAAATTGGTCCCGAAACATATCTATTGCATCAACCGTCAAAGAAAAACTGGTCGCACCGGCGACTTTGAAACGTGTTGTGGAAAAACGCGACACTCTAGAAACACCAATCCCCTGCAATGTTAGAGGAAATATTATCTCGGGAGATCAGTTGCAGGAGGTCGTCCGAAGATTATTTAAAATGTGTCATATCAGCGATATTAAGCCATTATATCAAGTAGTACCAAGATGTTATACCAAGTGCACGGATGACGTGGCACATTTTGGTTGGTCTCCGAATGACGTTCAGCATCCGCACAAAATAATTAATCTCACTGTTAGAAGATCCGCTCGAACCTAAAGCTTCACATTATTTTTATTATTATTTAAATTTTGAACATATTTAATTATAAATTTACATTATATATATTGTTGCGGGCTAGAATATACGCGGCGGTAGAGTTGTAAAATTTTCGTCTGAGCATTGTATGAATATCTAGCACACACAAACAGAAGATAAAAGAACCACATGATTTTTACGTGAAAAATCCTAAAAAGAGAAAAAAAAAAACCACGGGGCCGCGCCCAATTGAAAAGTTCAACTAGTGTAGTTTGAGATACAAGAGGCTGATTCGACCAACAAGTTAGGACGATCAGATTACAATGAGTTTCTTCTGAATTGAAATTCAGTTATAAAGTCGAGCAGAGTTCCTGCGTCACTCGGGAGTCCGGCGGGATTTTGGGGTCGTTCTGACGACGGGAAGAACTCCGGCGGTGGTCGAGGAGGAGCTGATCTCTCCTCTCCTTTTCCTCTCTTCTTCTCTTCTTCTTGCTTGGGGTCCTCTCTCATGAGAAATGAGGGGTCTATTTATAGATTTTCTAGAGTGGCATAGCTTGTAAATAGGTGTGAGATCATGGTCAAATGAACGGTTGATATTGAATCCCTTTATTAGGCACCATTCATTACACATTTGAAGGTTTTAATGATGTTATAATTCAATGATCTTGGGCTCGTTGGATTCGTCTCGTCGAGCCGTTCGATTCGACTACAAGCTCGTTAAAATCGGAGACCGTTTGGTAACTCAAATTGTGGTATGAACTTTCCAACAGCATTTCAGGTTTTTGATTTGGGCTCGGATTGAGTTAAATTTGGTGTCATTGGGTTTGTATTTCCGAGATGCTCAGTTTGACAGTAAGTTTGTTGAAATCGGAGTTCAGATGCTCCCGGATTTAATTTTTGAAGTTTCCGGCTTGATTTTGCCTCGAGATTCATGCCCGATCAAGAAAATTTTATGATAACGTATCATATATTGTTTTGCTTATGGCAGCCAAGCTCAAGCTACCTCAAATTTGAGCTTGAGTTTGAACATAATTCAGCAAGGTCATGTAAGCTCACAAATCTGCTCGTTAATAATCAAGGGAAATTTACATACATACCACAATATTTATAATCATTTACATATCTAACACCTTAAAATTTAACATTACTCTTATACCACCTAAAACTCAATTTTTACCTCACTTCTACCACTCTGTTACTTCGACCCTCACGGCGTATTTTTCCCGTGGAATTTTCCTGTTAGCAAATATCTCTGCTCGCGAACACAATCGATCGGGATTCCATCTGCTCACGAAAACCTCTGCTCGTGATCGGGAATACCTTCCTTCTGCTCGTTGCTCGCGTCCGGCTGCTCGCGATCCTTTGCTCGACTGCTTGCGATCGGGAATACAAACCTCTGCTCGTGATCGGGAACACCAAACTTTTATTTTCTTCTGCGACCAAACTTCAAATGATAAATTTTCATCAGGTGTCGGAGCAGTTCCCGCCGGAAGGGAAGGGGAAGGATCTGTCGCTGATCTTGCAGATGCTATTAGCATATGGTTCAAGGTTTATAAATACTACTTTGGATTAAGAATTCTTGATTGATTGGATTTTATTTATATTATCATTTAGGTTATATTCTGATATGATTTAAGGTTTGTAAGGAGGCTGAAGCATTCTGCAGGTAATCTAGTAGGTTCAGTTTATAAGATTGTTAGAGAAATACTGTAAGAATAATCGATTAGAACTATAAGAATAACAACGTTTAAAGAATGCTCTTTTATGCATTGCTTCAGGTTTTGAACAACAGCCAGTTGCACTCATTTTTTCTGCTGATCCTCCCTTCATAAACCTCTCAGGCTTGCATTCTGCGGCTTCTTCCCAAATCTTCTCATCCTAAGCCATCCATTTCCACAACACTGAAATTGATCAGCGCGTTATTGGGTATCAAATACCCTTCAAAATTGATATCTTCTATTACGTAATGGGGAAGAATGAAAAGGCCTAGGCAAAATACTTCTGTCTACTTCCGGTGAAATTCTTTAGCATTTCTTAGCTTTTTATGAAAGAAATAGTCAGTGATCGCTGGCAGGTAAGGTAGAAAAGTGATCTTACTAGCTTTGAGAAGGAAATTTCTCTGGGCGATCTCAATTTCTCGGATAACCTTATCGTCGAACTTCCCTCCGAAGTACATCAACACTAGAAGACAGAACATCACGAACTGGAAGCTACCCCTAGGAACAACGATTCCGTCGCCACTTTCCGATTGGGCACAAAGGCCATCGACGGGGATATCGAAGGTCCAGCGGCCGACATCGTCGAAGACTGAATTCTAGCGTGGAAAGAACAGTTAACGCGGGGAGGAAGAGACGGAGTGAAGGTTTCTGAGACGGAGTTGAGACGGAGTGATATTTATATTGTAAAATTAGTTTTTGGGTGGTATGAATGTAATATTTAATTTTTGGGTGTTAAATATGTACTATAGGTATAATAAAGTGGCATGTATGTAAATCCCCCAATAATCAAAAACAAAAAAAAAATTATGATTCAAATAATTATTTTAATAAAATTATAAAAAAAGAGAAATTAGAAGATAAAGAATAAAAAATCACGTGATAGAAGAAAGTGAGATATATGCTTTGTTTGAGACAACTTTCTTATGGTTTTTAAAACAGCTTTATATTTCAAAATTTTGAAGTTTAAAAATCTTTTGTGCTAAAAAACTTTAAAAAAAAATTGTCCTGAATGAAGTCATAATTTTAAAATATTTACAATAGCTTTATGCTCTTACTCCTAAATTTTAACATATTTTAAATTGTATTTTTATTGTAAAATTTTTTAAATTAATCAGCTCGTTAGTTAATAAGCTGAGTCGAGTCTAGCTAAAACTTGACTTTTAGTTCATCAAGTTCAACTCATGGGTCATTTATCGAGTCAAGCTCAATTCAACTCACGAGTAAGCTTCACTGACTTATAACCCCTACACCCAAGTCACTCTACATATATTCTTTTTTTTTTTTTTGTTCTTTTTTATTTAATTAATTATTTCACATAATTATTTTAAAAATTCATTATATTTCTATAATTGGACGAAAAATAAATTGCAATTTAATTAAAAGCGTGGTCGGCAGCTGGCCTATGCGCGAATCGCGATTATTATTAAATTAATAAATTATAGAACTCAATCACATTACGAAAACCCAAAAATACCCTCTCGTGGGGATCCGATAAGTCGAATTTCCTTATTTGCCCCTGATGCCTGATGTTTTTAGAGGAGAGTCGCAGCACGGAAAAGACGACAACAGGTACTAGAAAAAAATATTTTCCGTTGAGATCTTCTCTTCCTCCTATAGCTTCTTCCCCGCGCGCCATTTCTCTTGCGATTCAGCGCGGGATGGAAAGCTTGATTGGGCTCGTAAATAGGATCCAGCGCGCGTGCACCGTGCTCGGCGACTTCAGTGGCGAAGGCGCCGCTGCACTTCCCGCCCTCTGGGAGGCGCTGCCCTCTGTCGCCGTCGTTGGGGGACAGAGTTCCGGAAAGTCCTCCGTCCTTGAGAGCTTCGTTGGCCGCGACTTCCTTCCGCGAGGATCAGGTAATGACCGGCTATCTTGAGCTTGATAGCGCTTTTTGACTTGTTTGCTGATGGGCTTCTTTTTCGTCGAGAAGGGATTGTGACGAGGCGGCCGCTTGTGCTGCAGCTTCACCAGGTTGAAGAAGGGCAGCCTGAGTATGCCGAGTTTCTTCACTTGCCGAATAGGAAGTTCACCGACTATTGTAAGTGATTTTTTTGGAATATTCGCTTTGAAGGCTCTGTTTTTCTTTCTTTTTTAATTTTTTGAGTTCAAATTTTGATGCTATTGCGTTGTTAATTGGAAGTTATCGATGGTTATTTCTCACCTGGTTTCAATTGTTCGTGATTTATTGCAATGATTGAAAAAACTCAGAAAGCTTGTGAAAACGTGAATTACTTTAAATTCGGATGGTTGTTTTACCAGTTGTTGGGTGAAATGGTTTAAAATTACACCACATGATTTTTTTGGTTGCCGTCTTTTTTATCATTCTTTAACTGAAATGTTAAACTTCAACCAAAAGAATTGTATAGCCTATGGAAATTTGGATGGATCGTCTTCACTTATAAACTGTTCGCACGAACATGAGTTTATGAGGATTCAGTCACGGTACTTTATTTGAATCAAGTACCTGATTTGATCAATTTATATTTGAATATTTTAATAGGAAGAAATAGGGAGAGTGATCAAGGAGCTAATGTTGTTGGATACAAATTTGTCCATGGGTATCTACTAGCAAGCCTAACTATGTAGATAAAGAGAACATGATAGAGAGTAAGTCGGTATAGAGAACAGCTAAGAAGTCAAATAATCTTTGTGGATAGTAGAAATGGCTTGAAGTTCAACATATATCTCTTTATCCCTTATTTATAGGATTTAGATGGCTACAAGAAAATACACCTAGAAAAATAGAAAAGTAATACATAGTTTGACAAGTATAGATTCGTTTAAGTATGTGGACTAGGCCAAAATGTACATTTGTGGCCATCCATCTCTGATGTGGCTCAAGATGTCTCTGGCGAGTAACTTGGAGGGGTGCTGAGTCCGCTGGGCCAGTCCTCGAAGGCAAGTGCATTGGACTGAATCCTGAAGGATGCATATCCTAGGCTAGTTTGCGAAGGTGAATATTCCCTTAGGGCAAGTGACATGCCTTTTAAGTCAATATCCCATGCAAGTGGCTATGAGCTGGGGGCAAATATGGTTGGAGTCATGACTACAGGTTATGTAGGTGTCTGCCTCTTGTAATTTGATTGGTGATATATGTGGATGGTGAATCACTTGACTAGGAGAACAACTGAAAGAGTGGAGTTCTCATAAGGTGAGTTCTTCTTCAAGTGAAGATTTGCTAAGGTGAGTTCTTTGGTCGAACTCACTTAGAATATGTATCTCTTTGATCAAACTCCTTGGGAGTAAGCCCCTATAATGCGAGCTTCATTGGGATGAGTGTCTACCTATCTCTAACTTGCTCCAATGAGTGCTCCTCTAGTCGAGGCCATTTTGGGCAAGTGCACCTTTTAACTGAATGTACTTTTTTTTATGTTGGCATTCCATTTCTGAACCATTTTATGCACCAGAAACTCCATCCATTTGGATATGACTTTTATTTCAACTGCATACTTTAAATGCCTACATCTTTCTTGTTCATGATGAGTTTTTTTTTTCCCTTGTGATTTGGCAAGTAAAAATTAATTTTAAGATGACTTCTTTGGCGTGAATTTAACATAAGCTATAGGAAGTATATCTTAAATGATGGATAGCCTAGCTTTTGTCATCATGCATATTAGATGTCTCATGGTTTATATCATTATTTACCATTTTGCTGCATTCGTTTACTCATGCCACTTTTATTTGTCTCTAACTAAATCCATTTCCAAACTCAGCTCTTGTGCGCAAGGAGATTCAAGATGAAACTGAAAGGTTGACAGGGAAAACAAAACAAATTTCACCTGTTCCCATTCATCTCAGTATTTACTCACCACATGGTACGTGCTTCTTTATCTTGTATTTTTTTATGGGGAAGTGAAATTTGAATGATGGACATGTGACCTTCAAAAGCATAGATTCCTTTTTATGGTGGGCAAAAATTTTCCTATTTACTTGTATTTTCATTAACTATTACTTTCTATACTATGTTAGAATTATTTATATTTCTCTTTAGTTGGTTAAAAACTCATTTTATAAGTAGGGTGGGCAAGGGCTTGCCAAGCTAGATGAACGTTGGCCATTTTATATGTAGCTTTTGGATTAACCTAGACCAACCTTTATGTAAAGTCGGCTTCAGTTGCTCAACCTTGGTGTACCTTTTTGATTCAAATATTGAACAAATTGTATGGTCGTATTTTGGCAGATGGAGGCACCTCCGAAAACCTATGAAAGCAACAATATAACGGAAAAAAAAAATAGAGCCACTAATCTTTAGAATTTTGTATGTAATGAGTTGTTTACCAGTGAAGCACATCCATTAAGTCATTTACTCTACAATGGATTAAAGAGAGAGTACTATTAAGGGATCTTAAAAAAAAAACCATACATAAGCAAAACATTGAAAACATTTTAGTTTTCATCATGTATGCCATTAAACAAATAGCTCATACAAGCCACAAAAAGAAAGTTTGTCCTCTTCTTTCTAATGAAAGCTAATTCATAGAATTTCTTAACTGAGAGTTACTGACCTTTTTATTCCCATTGTATAATTTAATGTCAAATGATCAAAGTGCTACTCAATTATTGCCAAAATTAATGTCGTTGTTCTTGGTTTATGCTTTGGTGTTGGGAATTAAAATACCCCTAATGCATTTGGCTTATGTAAGTATTAAATGCCTTTTGATAGCTTAATTTCGACTTGGTTAACAAACAAGCTTTTTTCTTTTCTGGTATGGCTCTCCGCTCCAAAACAAGCATACGATAAGTGTGGTTCCTTACTTGCTCCCTCTATCTTTGATAAAAAAAGAGAGACGTTATGAGTTCCTGGCTATATCTAAATTAGAATTAATGCTACATTTAACTTGAAGACCAAGGAAGACTTAACCAACTGAATCAAACACTTTGGTTCCGTTTTGCCTAGCTATTATTTCATAAAGTATTATAGTGTATTAGTGTCATCTTTTTTAGATATACTTTGATCGAAGTTTTATAATGGACATATGAAGTTTCTGTACTTCTACGCTTAAAAGTTTCATTTACTGAAGGGGTCTTTCCTAGTTATTGAAATTAGCTCTTTTACTTGATGCTGCACCTAACATGAAGAACCTTGGAAACAGTACTAGACATGATTAACTGAATCAAACACTTAGTTCCATTTTTCCTAGATTTTCTTTGATATAGTATTTTAGTTTCAAATTTTTAGATTATAATACGATAGCAAGATTTATCATCTTAGGCAAATGGACATTATATATTTTTCCCTCTAAATTTTTTTTTTCTATTAAAGGAGTCTTTTATTGTTTGATCTTATAGTTGTAAATCTCACATTGGTGGATCTACCTGGTCTCACGAAGGTAGCCGTAGGTACGGTTTTTTTTCACTGATTTTCTAATTTCCTTTTTGAAGTGTTTTGGAGTTAATATTACTTCTATCAACATGACCGCGGTTATGCTTTACAGAGGGGCAGCCAGATAGCATTGTGCAAGATATTGAGAATATGGTTCACTCATATGTTGAAAAGGTATCACGTGTCAAAGTTTCCATTACTATTTCCTTTTTTTTTTTCTGTGTAGTATTTTAACTTCCCGTCACACTTAAAAGAGTCCTATGATTCTTCATTGGCTTTTCAAAAAAAAAATTAAAGGTTGTATATTTTATTGTCCTGGCCATAATTCAAAAATTATTGAAACTAAAAATACTTAGTACACTGAAATTGTTGCACGATCATGTAAGATGGAAATTCAAGAAGTTAGGGTAAAAATTTCTTTACCCATTACTTCTTCTAAAGTTGTTATGCCTACTATTGTTGATTAGTTTGATGATTTTGAAGAATAAGAAATGAATGACCAAATTTCCCATGATGAAATTATTGCTAATGAACCTATATAGTTGATGTTCTTGAAAGGAAATTAGATGCTCAAGGATTAGAAAAACTAAGTATTAGTAAATAAATCTTCTTTTATATAGTCCTTATAAAGTTGCCTCTCGAATAGTTACACAGAATAGATGTTTAGTACATAGTTACAAGAATCTAGCTAAAACACTAGTTCACAATGCCCATTTTTTTAAGAGAAACTTTGTGAGACTGAAAGTTCAGCAGATGCTTAACGGCTTCCTTTGTGTAGGTTTAGGTTATTGTTTATTTTCTGTTTTGCCGTCTCCTTCTTTTAGATAATTTAAAATAAAAGGGAAAAAAATGTCCTTTCATGATAGTTTATTTTATTTTTGATATGCCAAAGATTTTTATAGTATCTAGCTTGACCTTTGGTCCATTGACCCAGTGGGAGACCTTTAGAAATATGATTCTTCACACATAGAAAAATAATCAAAAAGTAATTTCATTAATTCATTGAAATTTTCCTCCTCAAGTTTTACATGATCTTCAACCCTTGAGGTGTATGGATAGCATTAAGACAATTACAAAGACCAAGAAGATCTGTTATCCCGAATGATTTTGTATTTAATCTACAAAAGTTAGAATTTGATTTAGGAATTGATGAATATCCAATTTCATTTTCATAAGCCACAAAAAATATGAATTATGATAGGTGGTTAGACATCATTAAAGAAAAGTTGAAATCAATGAATTACAATGAAACATGAGATTTTGTTGAATTGCCTGAAGGTTCAAAAAGTTTGATGAAAGCGAGTCTCCAAGACCAAATTGACTCAAATTGCAATGTCAAAAAAATACAAGGCTAGGCTTGTTGCTAAATGTTTCACTCAAGAGGATGATGTTAATTATGAAGAGATATTTCCTACTGTATAAAAAAGTAACTCATTCAAAATTGTTATGATAATAGTGGCTCGTTATGATTTGGATTTATATCAAAGGGATGTGAAAATTGATTTTTTGAATGATGATTTAGAGGCTGAAGTTTATTTGAATCAACCTAATGGCTTTCAATTGATGGAAACGGACATATGATGTTAACTTTAAAAGCCAATATGCATGCCTAAACAAGTTTCCCGATAATGTTGTTTTTAAGTTTAATGATATACTAAGCCACACACATTTTAACGTTCACTAGTTTACTATTTCTTTGAACTTTCAGAGCTGACCATGTCAGAAATTCATGTTTCTGTTGTGTAGCCCAACTGCATCATACTGGCAATTTCTCCTGCTAATCAAGATATTGCAACGTCTGATGCAATGAAACTTTCAAGGGAAGTCGATCCAACAGGTGAGAATGCGGCAATATTGTCTTAAACCTTCCTTTTGCAAACATTTTCTTGTTCATCTTGTTGATAAGTCAGAAGCTCTGAATGCCTTCTTTCTCTGTTTTACCTGCACGTGACATTTCTGTTATCATGGTCGTGATAGGTGAAAGGACTTTCGGAGTTCTGACAAAGCTAGACCTCATGGATCAAGGAACTAATGCTCTTGATGTAAGTACATGATAAAGATCTTCAGATCTTTATAGTTTTGGAGCTAGCTGAATAGATTGATATGCCGATGTCTGATCCTTGAATTCCTTCTGTTTTAATTGTCATTTCCACAAATAAATACTATGATATTGTTCCAAATGATTGAGATGGCGCTAACAATGTTGTTGTTGATGATGATGATAATAAACAATTATTTTATGATTTTATTGCTATTACTTTTGAAGGTTCTTGAGGGAAGGGCTTACCGATTACAACACCCTTGGGTTGGGGTTGTGAACCGTTCTCAAGCTGACATAAATAAAAATGCTGACATGATTGCTGCCAGGAGAAGGGAAAGAGAGTACTTTGCTACCAGTCCTGACTATTCCCACTTGGCTAACAAAATGGGATCTGAATACCTCGCGAAGCTTCTTTCACAGGTACGATATAATTTTATCAACTTTCCCCTTCATATATACTGGATTACTTGAAAGTTAGATTTTATAAGTATTTCCTTTCTTTCAGCATTTAGAATCTGTGATCAGGGCACAAATTCCAAGTATCACTGCTTTGATTAATAAGACTTCTGATGAACTTGAGGCAGAAATGGAGCGAATTGGTAGACCCGTCGCAGTGGATGAAGGGGTAATATATAAGCTCTGTTCATCACATTATTAAAGTTTTGTGGTTTCTTTAGTTATGGAGGGCATTTCTTTCCATGATTCTCAGGCTAAGCTTTACACTATATTGGAACTTTGTCGTTCATTTGATCGGATTTTCAAAGAACATCTTGATGGAGGGTAAAATCCTAGCCTTGTCTTTTCAATTTGAATAGCTTGTAATTTCCCATTCCACCAGAAAATAAATATATATTGGATCTATGATGTAAAGAATGTCCAGGAAATGATGAAGTTCTGTTGTGAATTCTGTTAGAATAAACAAATTCAACAAAGTAGTAACTATCGAAAGTTATACTTTATATTCCATATTTGCTGCAGTTATGTGAATTAGTTTATGCTTTTTTTTTTCTATTGAAATTAAAATTGTTTTCAAGCAGGAGACCTGGTGGTGAAAGAATATATGGAGTTTTCGATAATCAACTACCGGCTGCTCTCAGGAAACTTCCAATTGACAGACATCTTTCTATCCAAAATGTGAAAAAGGTTGTCTCTGAAGCAGATGGTTATCAGCCTCACTTGATTGCTCCAGAGCAAGGTTACCGTCGTCTTATTGAAGGAGCTATAGGCTATTTTAGAGGTCCAGCTGAAGCATCAGTTGATGCTGTAAGATGAAACTTTTTTTTTTGAACAGTTTTTTTTTCCTCTTCCTTTTTCTCAATATCAATATGTCAAAACTCTTAACTATCGAGATATTGTCTGCTTTGGCCTAAAGGCCTCACATTTTTTTTCCTATTGGTGTAACTTCTTTGGAGATCACCCATCTTAAGATTTCTCTGTGATGAGCACGCTTAATTGCAAAGTTTTTTAATGAAATTCCAACCATTATACCGAAAACCGCCTCGATGCTTAAGAGTTTAGCTTCTTTTATTTAAAGGTTTCACTATCTGTATTGTTTGGAATTTCATCAAGAAACTCCACAGTTAAGCATACTCATTCCGGAGAAATCTTGGGATGGGTGATCTCCTGGGAAACCAATAGGACAAAACCGTGAGGCTTTTAGGCCAAAACAGACAATATCTCGATAGTAAAGAGTTTAGCTTCTTTTACTTAAGGGTTTCACATTAATGATGCATTCATCTTCAATATGATACCAGCAGCCTTAGTATAATGATATTTTTTACCACCATTATTTCTAACCACCATTCAGTGTATTAGTATACAAACTGAGGGACCTGAGACAACTTCTGATGATGAATTGATGAAACTTAGCACATGCGCCTTAGGACTACTATGTGATAACATCATAGAATAAGAAATAATCATTATAGAAATTGTGGGAGTGATTAACATTATTGAGATAAAATAGTTAAAAAAATGGTCTGAATGTAAAAACAATGAAAGAAAATTGGCCATTTTAGAGGGGGATACATGAAATTAATATCTAAGAATTTGAATCAAAAGATAATGGATAAAAAAATTTAATATCTTATGCATCACTCAAAATGAATGAATGTAGAATGAGAATTCATATGAACCCAACTAATCTAAACTAATATTGATAAAATCTTGCAGGTACACCATATTTTGAAGGAAATAGTGCGCAAGTCAATTGGGGAGGCTGAGGTAAAAGCTTCAACGAATCTAATCCTTTAAATTAAAGAAATAAATATTTGATCATAACAAATTCTCTGTGAACATTACCAACCAACAGGATCTGAGGAGGTTCCCCTCTCTAAAGGCTGAACTGGCTGCTGCCTCTTTTGAAGCTTTAGAAAGATTTCGTGAGGATAGCAAGAAAACAACACTGCGACTGGTCGATATGGAGTCGTCATATCTAACAGTTGAGTTCTTCAGGAAGCTTCCACAAGAGGTTGACAAGGGAGGAAATCCTGCTTCAGCCTCCACTGTCGATCGATACGGCGAAGGCCATTACAGGAGAATTGCATCAAACGTTTCATCCTACATCTCCATGGTGATGGAGACGCTCAAAATCTCTGTGCCAAAGGCAGTGGTTTACTGCCAAGTTCGAGAGTCAAAACGTTCTTTGCTTAATCACTTTTACACGCAAATTGGGAGAAAGGAGGTACTGTATTATGGAAAAATATTGATGATCTCTTCTTTTTTCTTTCCTTCTAAAGTTTTCTCTTGTTTTTACGAGTTTTTTGTTGATGTTGTTCAGGGAAAGGATCTGGGAAAGCTTCTGGACGAGGATCCGGCATTAATGGAGCAGAGGCAACAGATGGCGAAGAAATTGGAGCTCTACAAAGCTGCAAGGCAGGAGATTGAGTCTGTCTCGTGGTCCAGATAAGTGTTCATTGGTGGTTTCAATATACTTAGGCATTGATGGCGATGGCATAGAAGAAGTTTCTCCAGATATGGAATGTACAGTTTGTAAGTGAATAAAGAACTCTGCAATTGACTTATTTTGAAAGAAAATTTTGTCTTGAGATAATTAATGGTGGAGAAGTATGTTTTTTATTGATTTTAGTACTGCATAATTGATTTGTGTTTGTTAAAGAAGAAAGATTTATGTCAAAAGTTATAGTCATTGAATTCATATATTTTGGGGTATTGATTATGATGATATTTTCAAAGATATTTGAAGTGAGATGTTTTGATTAATAAGTGAAAAATTAAAAAGATAGAGAAAATATGTAGAGGATATTAGAATTAGCAATTATTGGAATAAAATTAAATATAGGAGGATATGCAATTAAATAATTATGAATCAATATTGATAAACTAATATCTTGAAGATTTATTATAGAAAAGAATGTAGGGAAGAAATATCTCAACAGTCATCAAGTTGATATCATGGAGCCTTAAAAGATAAATTTTATAAAATAGTCATTAAGTTGATGATGATGAAAAAATAAATTAGGTTGAACAAATATCAGACTTGTGCCTAAATTTATTAAATAGTTAAAAAGTCATTAATATATATGTAGAATTTAATAAAAATAAAAATATTTAGACTGATATTTATCTAGGTATACTAGCCTTACTAGGAGAATGAAATTTATTGTAACTAAATTTTTAATAATATGAAAAATTCTTTTACTCTAGTAAAAGAATAAATATTTATAGCCTCTTAATTCTCAGCCAACCATCTTTCTTTTTTTGATTTTAATACATTAATTAATTGCGCAAAGTAGTTAATTAATGATTATGATCTTAATTGATAAATTAAAAATTAATTGAAATTTAATTAGATAAATATGGAATTAAGTTAGTTAGATATTGAATAGTGTGATATGTTAATTAATCTAAATAAATAAGAAGTAATTTTATATAGAGAAAATTACTATATTGTATTATATATATATATATATATATCTTCCTAATACTTGCAATCAAATAATTCATAGATATGTAATGTGACATCTAAAACTACTTGAAAAATTATGTGAGGATATTTTGTTGAATTTTATAAGAGAATGAACTTATAAATCCTTTGAATTAGTGCAACGTACAAAGAGTTTGCATTAAATTAATCTTAAATCAAATCATATTATTTTTTAAGCTCACAACACCCACAAATTTTTTTCATAACGAAGTTTCAAAAATTATTATCATACAAATAAAATTTTTCCATCCATCATCAAACCGATGACTATGCCCCAGACTGTTTTAGCTGCAGGTTGGCTTATTTTCGAGGGGTAAGGAGAGAAATTATTCCGTGTGAAATCCGGACAAGAATAACCATTCGAATTGCTGCGTATTTATTGAATATTTATAATTACTCAACAAATACTATAAATACTCAGTAAATACACAATAAATCAACAAGTACTCATAAAATTCTCAACAAACACTCACATGATATTCAGTAATACTCACAACTGAGTATTTGCTGGATATTTACTTTGTATTAAAAAGTACGCAATAAATTCCAACAATTATCCCCGTCCAGACTCCGCACGTAATAATTAGGAAGCATTGTAACAATAAGAACCTGTTTTGATATTAGCCATAGTACCATATCTAGGGTTAATAAAAAAGGAAAAGAAAACCGCCACGAGTCAAAGGATTTTGCAGTGCATACAGATATTTAAGCATCCAATGAATTAGAAATTTTGCATTTTGAATTTCTTTGTGCGAGGAGACACTAAACTCATCGCATCTAACAAATAAATCATAAATTTTCATTGAAAAAGTAAACTCTTGTTCTTAAGAAAACTGGCAGACATGCTCCACATTAGACACAAGCGAACACCCTTCACAACTTATAACGAAACATTTTCATGGAAGTTTAAGAAAGAAATCTCTTAGGCTCCATAAATTCACTAACACAAAAATAAAAAGAGAGAATCTTAAACTGGGATACAGCCCAAACTTCATCATCATTTGAACAAAAACTAATCACAGCAATTAGTATTTAAAAAATAGCTAACTTCCTCCTAATCACAAAAATGCAAATCCTTCAATTTCCGTTCTAGCTTTGCAGTACTCCTGAAAGCGTATTTAAAGATGAGATACTATGAAAATTCATTAAATAAATAGCCACATGAATCTAATGCTGAAGATGCTTAAAAACCAAAGGGAGGGACTGCATATAAACAAATAGAATTGCACAACATATGATTTATTTCCAAACAAAATAGATTGTCTGAGAAGAAGATCCAAAGATACAAACATAAAGCTACAGTTTAACAAAGAGAAATACCAGAGATTCATCTCTAAGACATCTCTCGGAATCTTGCAATGGCCTTCTTCTGAATAATGGTCTTGTAGCTGTCCCCAGGCTGAGCCTCCAAGGCATTATCCACAACTTTCCTCTGCTGGCTCCCCAATCCAGCTCTATCGTCAACAGCTCTGGCCTGAACAGGCTCTTTGATACCACTACCATCTTTTCCGAGTCCCTAGATGTTTTCATTTAAAAACCAAACAAGAAGAATAGTTCACTAAATAAGAAAAATAAATGTTAGTATCCTGGACCATTTAAATAAAGCATCAGAATCAGCATTAACTCATCTACTGGACATCATAGATGAAGGTTTTGTTTGGGACAGCTTTTTACTGCTTTTTAAAGCAGCTTATTAATACAAAAATTTTAATTTTTGTAACACAAAACTGTTTTAAGAAGCAGTAAGAAAGCCGTCCCAAACGAAGCCGAAACCAGTTAAGATGTTTGGTCATCCACATTAAATAAAAAGTGTCAGGATTCTGTTTCACAACCGCCGAGCCACAGTGGGCTTTTGAAGTTGGCCTATATAGGCGGGGTACCCTGTCCCTCTTTCAACTAGGTTCACATTTGCAAGTCTATCCTCTAAAATGCCACCCAATACCCCAATCCAATCATTCCCTTCCCTTAAACAAGAAACCAATCAACCCTAATGCCCATGCATTCTCGAAATCCCATGAGAATAAATCAATTGATACGTAAAAAAAGCATCACTTCTAGAAAACAGAGTTCATAATATCACGAGAGATTGCAGAGAAGAGAAAACCAGCAAGATAGAAACATGTTTAGACTAACCGATCTTTTTTTACTTGTACCATGATTTTGCATGCTTTTTATGAATGCTGAATAATGCAATGTGATTTGCAGGTATTATTAATCCTCGTTGCATCTCTACTTATCTGGAAACTTGCATTTCTCTTTATAATAATATTTTGAGCATCGACCCTCCAAAATCGAAGTCAAGAGTTAATCTTGATCTACATTATTGCGAAACTGAGATAATCAATTTTCCATATTTTCCCAATGATTTATTTAAGTAATCAATTTCTGTGGTAAATTAGAAGTTCAAAAGCAACAATATAAAAGATAGCTAATTGATGTAACAATGACAAGGAAGAAAATTAGCAGAATAGTAATTCAGGGAGATAAAAACCGCTGGGTATATTTCAGTGTAAAAAGTTCCCATGTGTCCTGCATGCCTTTTAAGCTAGTATATATCAATACTATATCAATCTACACAAGCAAAACAAAGGGAAATGTACTATTGTAACTATAAAGAGAATACAACTATAACAGAGTAGTGGAGCAGCAAGCAAAAGGTGTGGTGTCCCTAGGGTGTATAGCATAAGGTTTCCACATCAGCTCTCTCCCTCTCTTGAAGAGTTCGCCTCTGTCGAAGTGGTGGCAGTGCTGGAATCAACTGGAGGATAATAATTAGATATATCTCTAATATTGAAGGTTGATGAAGTATGGACATCGGCGGGGAGATCAATAACATAATTTTATGTTTAACATGGAGCAGATCAAGTTTCCTTGGGCTTAACTTGGAGTATGTGCTGCCGGAAACCTTTCCTTGCATATCCATATCATGACAAGATCTCCGGGTTGGAATACTTTGAACCTTGGATGACTATCAATTTGCTGTTTGTATTTTTCATTGGCAGTTTGTAGCTTAGTTTGAACCTCTTTAAGCATATAGTTGTAAATCCATCCACAAATTTAGTTGCAGAAGTGCAGTGGCACTTAGGCAAAACTGCAATATCAAGTAAATGGTTGGGCATTTTAGTATAAATCATACTAAATGTACATTGACCCGTCGATCTGTTGGGCATTGAGTTGAATGCAAATTCAGCTTGACTAAGTAGTTCTTCCCATTGATTTGGATGTTGTTGAACAAGACAAAGAAGCATGCTCCCAAGGGTACGGTTCACGACTTCAGTTTGTCCATCCGATTGAGGGTGATATGCAAAACTTAGTTTTAAATCAATTTCAAACATTTTCACAATTCTCTTCAAAAATGGCTAATGAACTTAACATCACGATCAAATGTGAGGCTAAAAGGCAAACCAAGCAATCAAACAATTTCTTGGAAAAAGAGGCGAGCAACATTTAGTGCATCAAAGGTCTTTTTGCAAGGGATGAAGTGTGCTATTTTAGAGAACTTGTCCAGCACAACCATAATAGAATCAACACCATGTTTAGTTCGCGGTAACCTCATAACAAAGTCGAGACTTAGATACTCCTAAATAGAGTCCGGAACTGCCAAAGGCATATATACAAACTGATGCTTTGAGCACCTCCCTCTATACATTTGGCATACGGAACAAAGTTCCACCAATTGAGCCACATCCCGTTGCATATAAGGCCAGAAAAAATTGATGTTGTTGTTGCTGCAAGGTTTTGTCTATGTCAACATGAGCTGCGAGCCCTCCACTATGAATTTCTTTAATGAGTTGTTGACGCCAAGATTGCTAGAATACAAAGACAATTCAACTTGAATAAAAATCCATGGCGTACCGTGAAGTCGCCTATTGGGCGTCCAGCACAACATTCCTTCCATGGTTCAGCAAAATCTACATTAGAACAACAAAGTTTTGTCATTTCCTGTAGCCCCATGATCTCAATTTGTAACTGGGTTCGTAGGGAAGATCTCCTGCTAAGTGCATCATCCACTCAGTTTTGTTTGACAAAACTAAACTTCTGTAAGAATATAACCCACCTAGCATGCATTCGATTTATGTTCTTTTGGTTGTTGATATATTGGAGTGCTTGATTTTCGCTGCATAAAACAAAATCCTGGTGGAGGAGGTAATGCTCCCACTGTTTCAATGCTCATACTACAACATATAGCTCTTGCTCGTAGACGGACTGATTTTGTCTTGTCGAGCTGAGTTTTTCACTTAAGAATTCAACTGGTCTATCATGTTGGGAAAGAATTTCTCCTGTGCCCTTTAATGAAGCATTCGTTTCCACAACGAAAGGTTTCTCAAAGTTTGGAAGGACCAATATGGGAGCTAAGCTGAGAGCAATTTTGATGGATTTGAGGCTCTTTTGTTAAGTTGATGTGCAGTTGAATTATGTAGATTTTAAGTAATCTGTAATTGGTGCCAAGAAAATGCTTAATCCCTTGATAAATCTCCTATAAAAATTGGCCAAGCCATGGAAGCTGCGAATTTTTAGAAGAGAACATGGTGTCGGCCAATTTGTGATGGATGAGAATTTGGGGGATCCATTTCTACCCCATTCTTGGAGAGAATAAAGCCCAAGGAGTGCACTCAAGTTGTGGCAAATCACACATCATTAAGTGGAGGTACAACTAATTTTGATGAAGGTTTTCGAAAATGGAAGATAAGTGAGATAAATGGTCACTAAAGAGTGGCTATACACGAGAATGTCATCAAAATATACGACACAAAAAATTTTCCCAAAAAGGTTTCAACACTTCATTCATCAAGCACATTAAAGTTCACGGAGCATTGCATAGCCCAAAGGGCATGACCTTCCACTCATATACGCATTCTCGTGTTTTAAAAGTCGTTTTGCACACGTCTCCTGTATGTATGTGAATAACCACTCCTTAAATCCAATTTAGAAAAGATAGCATCTTCATTACGTTTGTCCAATAGGTCACTAACCCTTGGAATGGGGAATCTATATTCCACGATTATTTTGTTAATTTTCCTACTATCAATGCACATTCGCCATTGTCTATCTTTCTTGTGAACTATGAGACCTAGCACTGCATACAGACTCAAGCTTAGTTGGATTAACTATTTTCTGCAATATTTCCTCAAGCATTTTCTGCAAAATAGAGTGCTCTTTGGGACTTATTCAGTAGTGAGGTAAAAAAATTAGGTAGTGTGGCACCCGGCATGAACTCAATTTGGTGTTGTAAAGTTCAAAGTGACGATAACTGGGAAGGTAAGTTTTGAGGTGCGATGTCGGCAAATGCAGCTATTAATTGTTGAACTTCCTTGGGTATAGTTGTGTTTTGGGTTGTTTCAAGGCTATCAGAGATCCACTAAAGCTAACAAGGAAGTGGTATAGCGCCAAACAAATTAAAGATCGACCTAAGATGATATAGACAGCCGAAGACTCCCCTTTAGTAGTTGGCTTTGCTGAATGAGAAAGAAAACGTAGTTGTTTATCTTTCCATTCGAAGGAATAGAAATTGGTTTGGCCATCATGAACGGCTCCCGTATCAACTACCAAGGTCGACCGAGAATTAAGTGGCAAAATCCATGTCCATAACATCACAAAGAAATTTGCATATATAATGCTTGTCGATTGAGAACGTGACACTGCACATGTTGGCCACCACAATCTCCGTGACTCTTTTTACCCAACTAATTTTATATGGATGGATGTTTTTAGCGGTCTTGAGTTGTAGAGCTTGTACATCAACCCGGGATATTATATTTCGTAGATCCACTATCAATCAACATATCACAAAGTGCACTGAGTTCAAAATAAGGAGTTACGTTGTGAAATAGCAGGTTGACAGGGAGCCAACATAAGTTTCTCTATTACACAAGCAAAGTATTCTCGTTCATCAACATGTAACTCTTCTACCTTCTCACCTGTATTGGTTTCTTCCTCTTCGTCAGGGCCACCTTCAAGTAATTGAAGTTGTTGTCGCCATGAGCACATGTTTGATTTGTGTCCAGACTAAGAACATCTGAAACCCTTTAAGGTGGTCGGTTTACGATAAGGGTTGTCCTTCACTGGTGGCCTATTTTTAGTTGCAACTTGGGGAGGATGATATGGAGTAGGTTGAGATTTGGCAGTGGGTGAATTACTTTTATGTGCCTCAAAAGTGGTTTCATGCAATTGTCGAGGAGATGAGTAGTTATGAGAGTGACGGTGGAGTTGTGTTTTAGATTTCAAGGAGAAATTGAGGACTTGAGATAATGACCACACCTAATTAAGCTCTAACTTGTCTTGTATGGATTCCTTCAGCCCACCAATGTACCTAGCTACTAACTAATTTTCAGATTCATTCAAGTTGATTCTAGCACTCAACCTATAAAATTCCTCAGCGTACTCACTCATAGTCTACTGCCCTTGCAAGCACTGTTGATATTTCTAATATAGCATTTGTTCATAATCAAATGGTAAGAAATGACCCCTAAGAAATTGTTTCATTCGGTACCAATTCAGCACTGATCCCTTACCTTCCCTGTCCCTGAACTGTAAGAGTTGATACCACAAAGATCCTGCTCCCCCTTTAACATACTTCACCTATTTTTCGGGATTGAACTCCAAGTATTCAAAAAACGTTTCAATCGCTCGTTCCCAGTCCAGATAATTCTCTATATGCAGCCTACAATAAAAAAATGGATATCTAATTTGACTCTAAATTCACATTGATCCCTATTGTGTCTCCCCCGTCTACAAGGAGCTTCATAATAGCGAATTGGTTCATCATCTGTCGAATCAGCAAGGTCTTGCCGATAGCGAACTTCAATATTTCCTTCAGAATCAGAGGTCTCCATACAAAGATTGAAGGTCTTCTAAGTAAACGACCTAATACCTGAGGTGGACAATCTACTAGTGCGGTTGTTGGTGGATGAGTTTGAACAACAAGGTTTGTGCTTATCACTAACTTGGCTGTCGCCATGTCATTTCACGTCTTGGTAGAGAAACTAAAGAATACAGTTATCAACCATCAAGTTGCCGAGTGATGCTAGAATGAGCAGCCCACAGGGCATCCAAGCTTCGATCACCGTCGAGAGCCCTTCATGAACTTCCTTCGACCATTGTCCCATACTCAATTTAGCTCTAATACCAAAACTGATGTAATAATGACAAGGAAGAAAGCGAAGAAAATAGCATAACAGTAATTCAGGGAGATAAAAACCGCAGGGTATATTTCAGTGTAAAAAGTTCCTATGTGTCTTGTATGCCTTTTAAGCTACCATATCAATACTATATCAAGCTACACAGGCAAAACAAAGGGAAATATACTATTGTAACTATAAAAAGAATACAACTATAATATAGTAGTGGAGCAGCAAGCAAAAGGTGTCGTGCCTCTGGGGTATAGCATAACGTGTTCCACATCACTAATAGTTCATCATAGGAGATCAAAACCATTTGCGCTATTCTAAATATGAGTTTGGATATGCATAAAAATTCATTCCAATTTATTTACTTTGGATATACAGCCTAAAGTGTCATATAACGCTGTAAGGAACCAATTCAATTGTTTGAGTAGATGCAAAGTAAACTTTCACAGTGCCCTCTTTAACATAAATTAATGACAAGTAATCATTTGGTTTCTTGAAGTTTGACGACATATTTTAAAAACAAATACAATCCCTTCATTTGGTTGAATGGAATGCAGTTATAACTTGTTATTATTTTTAAACTCTAACAGCACATTAAAAACCCTGCAAAAGTGATCATTTCAAATTTACATACAAGATAACTGAAAAATAAATTAAGATGCATTTAAAATATATTTTTAATCTACAAGAAACCTATTGAGCCCATAAAAGTTAAAAAGACAAATGCATTCACTTTACATTGAAAAATATGGCGATGAAGGATTTAAAATATGCACTAAAGGTTGCACCAATCCTAACAAAGAAAAACACAACCACATTGTTTCTTACCTACATTTCCCCTAATTCTAACAAACAATCAAAAAATGAAAACATAACAGGAATCACTAATTACAATCACATCTACTACATATGAGCAGGTATAGAAAGTACCAATCCTTCCTGCCAGCCCATACTGCGGAGCATCCGATTTCCAACATTGTTCTCATCAATGCTGCGATCAGCAGTAATAACTTCATAGCTTGGTAGATCAGCAGGCCGCCCTCCACCCACTCCTGGGGGGAAAGGCATTGCTCCCATGTCCGACAAACGGCCTTTCCGAGATGGATGTTCACAATCTTGACAAACAAATGAATTTCTCACAAAGTTATTACAAATCTAACAAATCCGTTAAGCTATCAACCAGTGAATTTGGCGTTAGCCCAGATGTTTCTTACTATAAAGTACGTGAGCAATAAAATTCATGAATAAAAGATGGATTTCCAACAGAAGAAACAAATCTAACAATTCAGCATTAACTTAATGTATCTCTACCTCATCCATGCATCCCTATCTGATAAGCTCAAAGCAACAACAATACTTTATAAACACTAATACATGACGATATTCACAGCCAGTCAATGCAGACTATGTCCACAGTCATTTTTCTTATTTCATTGAGATATTTTAATCTTGTGACGCACAGTGATAGTTAAAAGATTTTTTTAAGCATAATGAAGATTGTTAACCCTTACTCGAATCCCCAAGGTCATCAGATAAATCATCAACAAAAGATGATCCATATCGGCTTCTCCTCTCAGCTGCCCGGTCTCTGTAAGCTGTTTGAGGAAGATTAGCTTGCATAGGAGTCTCCGAAAATCTTCTTTTGCCACTCCCTGCTACCACGGGTGTGGGTGTGCTTGAATTTAGTGCAGAGGCATCTGTCTTGAAAGGTGTAACAGTTGATGCGACCTCAGTATTTCCCAAAGGAATCCTCTCAGTAGAGGAAGTTGGAGAAATAGTAGCAGCACCCAAACCTGAGGATCCTGAAAATGTTGTGTCTGCTCTTATCACACCTCTCCCAGAACCTCTGATAACACCCATTATTGTTCCACCAGAACTGTTATTAACAGGCCTTGGCTTGACCTGAGAATCCATAGAAAAACTTGAGATGCTGGAAGCCTCTTTTGTAGATGTAGCATTTATTTTCAACTTGTTTTTGCCACTGTAAGAACTACTCTGTTTATCCTCTGTTAGCCCAGGCTGTTCATTGTCTTCAAGAACAACTCGAGCAGCTTGTCCCTCACTATTTCTCTGTTTCCATATAGCAAGAACGTTATTCATCTTCTTTTTGCTAGCAAGAAGACTGTTTTTAGATGCCAGTTTAATTTCTTTTTGCTTTTCTTTCTCTTTCTTCTCTGCAGCAAGAGCAGCTGAAGCAGCAGCATGCACAGCATCAGGCAAAGAGGTACTCTCGTTTGATTTAATAGTAGATGCAGGAGCTGATATCACAACTTTCTTAATATTGGTGCTATTGGATGCCTTTGCACCTTCAGATGTTGATTCTCCAGAAGTCTTATTATCACCTTGGTTAGCATAAGGAACATACTGCTGACTTTGATGATCATAGGAATACCAAATTCCATTATTACCATCGTAATAAAGGCCTGTGTAAATAAATATATTAGATAAATAAAAGAGGAAAAAAGGATTAGTTTATTTTAAAAGATAAAGATGGAGGGACAATTAGTTTAAGGATCTAAAATAAAACTAACCAGTATTTCCATCATAATAAAAACCAGACGACGCATCATAGTAGTATCCAGACTTTTCATCCCAAACAAACCCAGCTTGGGGAGCCGAAGAACCCACTTGAGCTTCGGTACTTCCATTTTGCTCCGACAAAGCAGTGGGTTGTTTATCATCAGGATTGTATTCTTTAGGAGCCCAACCAACAGCATCATACTGAAAGATGAAAGCAAAACCAGTTAGTACCACTCAAAAAATGGTTTAGCACGAAAAAAACAGGACCTATGCCTCTCGAACAATAAAAATGCATACACCAAAGTTCAACTTCTTCACAAAAACATAGGCCCGTTCAAATAGGATCATGGCCTGATGACTAAAACTGAAAATGCATGCATTACTCGTCTGAAGAGCAATACCTGGGATGCTAATATAAGAACTTGAAAATGAAACAAATTAGCAAGTTTTTACACCCCCAACCCAAAGAAAAAAAACACATTTGTGTGCGGAAGTGCAAACGCCCACAATTTAGAACGTACTTGAACTCTTTTAAGTATGAAGATGAAGCAGAGAAAAAATATCAAGGTAACTTTTGAATATTCAAAAGAAAGAATATCAATGAAGATGATTACAACATGGAAAACTAAATTCAAGCTATGATTACGATTTTTTCCGAGGGATGATTACAGGACAATCAAAGAAGTTTATAGAATTAAAACAACTTGCAATGAAATAAATATGGCTTAATCCAATGGAATCTAACAGTCAAGCAGGACATGAATAAAGGAGAAAATAAAATAAGTTAATAGAAATAAATCTACTTGCATTGAAATAAATATGGCTTAATCAAAGCAAATCTAAAGGTAGGCAGAACTTAGGTGTTTTCACGTTTTAATTATATTTTTTTGGAGGGGGCGTTTCGCCAGGTCTCCAGTTTGGCTACCAAAGGGAACTTGTTTGGCAGTCATACCATGTGAGGTCGAGTGAATAGTTGTTCAAAAAATGAAAGCACCTAAGACTTTTTTTGGGCATTTTAAAAATAAATTTTTTTTATTTTTATAAACCAAAAAAATACTTACAAAATGCTAATCAAACATGCTTTGTCCATTTTTTAAAAATTAAAAACAAAAAGGTAGAAATAAAAAAAGATGCAAAATAGGCCCAAAGTTTTTAATAAGAATCTTTTTAGATTTAAAATTATATAGAAATTTCAAAGGTGAAGCAAATGGGATGAAAACAAATACTGGTTAACCAATAGAACAAGCGTAAAAAACTTATAAAAAAAAAATCCATGAACAGCAGTACCCAGCTTAACATATGTAACTTATTCAAACATAATAGCACTTCCAAATCTGAAGTACTACATCATCAGATCACTATCAGTTAGCACTAATAAATACAAGCGCTTATAAATTAAAAACCTGAAAGGTTAAAACATTAAAACAACCTGTTGAGCAAATGTTGCCGCCTCAATTGCAGCTGCGGCTAGACTGCTAGATTGTGGAGCACCGGATGAAGGACCATGTATGCTTTTTGCATATGCTACACGTAATATTTGTCCATTCTTTTCAAGAGTTGTTCCATTAGTTGCTTCTAGAGCTTTTGTTGCATCCTCCACCTGCCACAGATGACAAAGTAAGAATGCCAATGGTTTTGATGTCAAGGCAATAGTATCTACACCGTAAGAACAACATTACCGAATGAAAATGCAAAAATGCAAACCCTCTGGAGACATGGGTAAATTTGTCCCGAACAAGGCGCAGATCCTAATGATAATAAAAAAGTAAGAGCCAAAACGTAGCAGAAAAACATTAGCTTACTCATTACACAAATAATACCTTTATGGGAGCATGCTTAGAAAACTCATAGCGAAGCATCTCTTCATCAGCGTTATCATCTAATCCACGGACAACTAATACATGAGTTGGGCCTGCAAACAGATTCCAGATTACCCAATGAAGAGTTAATTTGTAATAAAGAATAGACTGCAAAATAAACGAAGGACTACCAGCATCTGATCCTTTTCTCCCTAATACTGCTGGAGGTGCCATATCAGCTGGCTGAGCATCATCAGTACGAGGCTCATTGCACTACTCATACAAGAATACAAGATTAGATAAGAACGTAAGAAAACCAAACAAAAGCCTAACATCTCGATTCTAAGCAAAAATAAACTACTCACAACAAAACCTATAGAATGCTATTTCTACAATGAAAATGTTTGTGAAAATGATGCAGAATCCCAATATGTTCATATTGTATAACCATTCATTGTCAAAAAGCCTCAATAATGGCTCCAATAAACATTTATAACAATCAAGTTAGAGTAGGAAGCAACTGATATATGGATCTTCACATATTTTAATTCTCACATATCAATAAAAAACTTATAGAGAAAACGCTACAAATTTCTTGAATTCAAATCCTACTGGGATCATAACTGTTGTGTAAAACAAAAATCAGTTTTTTTTAATTATTTAGAACAGCACCATCAACATAAAAATATTAGAATAAACTCTTGATCTTATCCCAAATAAAAAATCTCCATAGTTATACAAATGTTCAAAAGGATATGTAACTTACTAACTTGCAATTTCCATTCAAATCATCAAAGATTTAAAACTTTGCACAAATCTTCAAAAAGAAACACTAATTTTTTTACTTTGCATTCCACGAGATGTTGAATTACAAAAAATTTAAATTTTTACTTTGCATTTCTTTTACTTCAGATCAAACACTAATATTTTTAAACCCTCTACATGTAGAATACTTCACACCCCTTTTATTTCAAACCAAACAAATCTAACACCAATATTTTTAAAACCCAACATTTAGAATATTTTACACCCTTTTACTTCAAACCAAAGAGCCCCCTATAAGTAGAATGTTTTAAGATATACCCAGCACTAATGTATTTTTCATGCCTTTCTAACAATTTGCAAATCTAGAGTAGCATAAATTGGGAACAAGATTTACAAGAAACACCATGTCTCTAACATAAACCAACAATTAAAGTTTCAATTATTTTGTTTCCACACTTTGCTGATCATGTGACTTCCACTAGTAATATTCCTACATACATTGTGAGATTCAATTAGACAGGTAATATGAATACTACAACAACAACAATAACAACAACATCAAGCCTTTATCCCACTATGTGGGGTCGGCAGGTAATATGAATAAAATGTTAAAATATATATACAACAATTTCAAGGCACCTTTGATAGAATAGATCCGAAAATAGAGCAGCAAAAGAAAAAAAAAAACAATGCTGAATGCAAAAAAACAAACCTGAAAACAAGATGTCCGGCGTGCAAAATTTACACAACCACAAATGGCGCATATCCAATCAGATGGAGGAGCAGATCTGCCATATCCATAACCAGATTTTGCAAAGCCTTCTTGGCGTAATACAGGCACTCCTGCCCCACCAGTTGGCTTACTACTGCAGCACAAATTCATCAGCACAATCCTGAAAATTTTCTTCATTTTTCTTTCTTTTTTTCTTTTACTTACGTGGTGGCGATTAGAATGCTGTTCATGGCAAAGACGGAAAAGAACCAATAACAGGAAAACTTAAAAAATTAATAGTACATGTTAACAGTAATAGTTAAAAACAAAAGTAAACATTGATATAGCTAACTCTGAAATTCACAATCTTTACATTGGTTGATAAAATACATGTTTATCACTCCAAAAATCAATTTCCAAATGAAAATATCTTCCAAGGTAAATGATTTAGATTAATGGCCGAATAACACCAAATAATAAAGGTCTTATAAGTGCATGTACAATTTACATATTCTAAATATCATTTACTTTGCTGTTTAGTAATTACTAAACAACGGGCACCAACAATCGAAGAGCTTCAGTAGCTCAACAATTTCGCACAACATACTGGTGCAAACCCACAATTACTAGCAACTTTTGAAACCTACTAACTTCAGAATTCCGTTACTCCAACAACAATGTAAGTACTTGACAATATCACAATGCAGGATTATATTCAACAATTACTAAAGACTTTATAAACCAGCTACAACTGCAAAACAAGGAACTGTTCTCCTTTTCAACAATTCTCAAACAGAAATCAGCCTACAATGCGTTCTTGTACATTTCACCTTTTTCAAAACAATCTCTATTGCCTAAAACATCTTTTGCAAATGTCAATCTTATGCACTCCACTCATGACTCACTCAAATTCCTCACACTAGATTCAAATGTGCTGGAAATCAGAATGAATTTTTTTTTTCCTGATTATCAATAAAACTAACAAGAGGCCTATATTCTAGAATATAATAGGTTTTAAAGCAAATCCAAAGAAGAGAGTAAGTATGGTTTACTGCTCCAAATCATGATGAACGATGAGAAAACACATATCTCATTGTCATGAAACACACACTATACCATACAATTTTGACATGAGATCAGATGGAAGCAGCAGCACCAAGATGACTTTGATATCATGGCATATGATGATATTCTAGACGCTGGTCCGTCCAAAATGTTAAGGACAAGTAAATCAAACGCTTCTAGTCAGAGTTCAACATCAACATCAATCCTCAAATCATCAAGACCCAAAGGACCATTATATACTTATCTTACACCAAATCTTAAAGATGTAGTGAAGCAGAGAAAATGTCAATTTAGCAGAGAGATGGATGTCGCTAAAAAGAAAATGAGGGAAAGGGCTATTCAAGGTTTCTGTAGATGGATGTATGACGTTGGTATTCCATTTAATGCAATGAGATATGACAGTTTCCCTACTAGGTCGAGGCAGTTAAACAGTTTGGACTTGGAACGAAAACTCCTAGTTATCAAGAGATATGAGTTACTTGTTTGAAGAAATACATTTGACATACACATGAACTATTAGACGTCATCAAGAATATTGTACGATATGGTTATTCTCTAAAGGTGGATGGATGGACATCAAGGAATGAGAAAAGTTTAATAAATTTTCTCGTGAAATGTCCAAGAGGTTCTGCGTTTATAGAGTCAATGGATGCCAGTTATTTTTCCAAGAAAGTTGTGAAAATGTTTGAACTATTTTGCAAGTATATTGAAATTATTTGACCACATAATGTGGTCCAAGTTGTCACTGATAATGCAACTGAAAATGTTCTTACAGGTTAGTCATAACCTAAACCCACATTATTTAATATGAAGAATAAATTTTTGTGCTAACATAAATTCCAATCATATTACAGGAAAATTATTGATGGATAAATATCCTCACATTTATTAGACTCCTTGTGCTGCTCACTATTTGGATTTAATAATGGAAGACATTTTCAAAATCCACAAGCTCAAGTGATGCTTTGAAAAAGAGGTGGCAGTACACAGTTTTATATACTCTAGGCATCACTTACTTAATTTAATGAGAAGGTGCACAAATCAAATAGCACTTGTTAAACCCGCTAAGACTCGGTTCGCAAAGGCTTTCTTGACGTAGTAATATTTTCATCAACAACTGAACTTGAAAAGAATGTTTACTTGTGAAGAGTTCATTTTGGGTCCCTATGTAAAAGAGACTATTTGGTATGCCTTAAAAATAACTAGGCCTTTATTCTTAACAGACAATCTTGCAGCAATCATTTTGACACTATTGTATATGCCTTAAAAATAACTAGGCCTTTATTGAAGGTTTTTAGATTGGTTGATGGAGAGAAGAAGCCCCCAATGGCTTACATATATGAAGCAATGGGTAGAGAAAAAGAGGCAATTACTGCAAGTTTTAGTAACATTGACAAATATGATCAAATTTTTAAAATTAATGATAGAAGATGGGAAGCACAATTGCACCGACCTCTACATGCAGAGAACATTTTTTCAATCCTAAATATTTCTTCAATAATCATAAAATTGTCAAGGATAAAAAAATAGTTGATGGTCTTTATGCATGTATTGGAAGATTGTCTAAAGATGTAGATGGAGAAGATAAAATCAGTAATGAATTAAGTTTATACATTATGAGTGAAAGACTATTTGGTATTCCTCCTATTGTAAGACAAAGGACTACTCGATCTCCATGTATCAATATTTGCATAAAATGAAGATTGATTATCAAGTTTATAAAAATAAAAAATAACTATTTCATTTCTTCCAACTAATTAGTGGTTGGCTTATGATCAAGGAGCTCCCAATTTACAAAATTTGGCTATCAAAGTCCTTAGTCTAATATGTAGTTCATCTGGCTGCGAATGCAATTTGAGTATTTTTGAACATGCAAGTATTTATACGAAGAATGTGAAGCTTTTTAATATATGTTCACAGTATAATAATGTAATAATGTTTTAATTGTAGCTTCATAGCAAACGAAAAAGCAGATTGGATTATGGAAACTTAAAAATTTTAGTTTATGTAAAATACAATAGAGCTTTAATTTGGAGATACGATTATCGTGATGTGATTGATCCTTTTTTTATTGAGATAAATGACGCAAATTAGTCCTTAATAAGAAAATTAGATGATGAGTCAGATCAAGAAATTGACTTTATTACTGGAGAGGAAGATTTAACTTGGACAAGTGTTGCTAAGGCTACTGGTGTTTATGATAAAAGCTACAACATCCGAGAGAGATCTAAAGGCAAAGAAAAGGAATATTCATCTAGGCATGACATTGTTGCTATAATGAGAAGGGTGATGCAGAAGAGTATAATATAGAAGACAATGCTAATGAAGATAATGATGCTTTTTTGAAATTTGTTGATGATGATTCCCAAGAAGAGCAGATTAAATTCTTATTAAATCATTATCTTTTGAAAAAAAAAATATTGTAATATTTTTAATTATGAGATATTTGAGGTGTTGTTTACTTGAACTTATGCATGACTGCATGACTATGATTATTTTATGTATTTCATCATTATGATAGCTTTTATTTCAGTTTAATGACATTTCATATTCATTCATAATTTTTATTATTATTGTATAGTTTGTGTCACGTTCAAAATGACGCGCGCCGCGCCGTGAGCTATGCACCATGACTCAAAAGGAACCTTTGCACCGTGGTGCGTCATACGCCGTTAGCAAGTATGTTCCCTCCTAAAATGGGTCCATGGGATATTTTGTTCTATAAATTGGCATCTACCCCTTCTCTTGTGAGTACTTTTTTTGTTGTATTCAGAAATTAAGTCTTTCCTGGTTCCTCTCCTTCCCTCTGTATCCTAGCTATAGCCGGGTGGTGGCCCTTGTGTTTCTTTCCCCATTCCCCATTTCTTTCTACTATCTTCTTGATGTCTACCTAGTCCTGCACCTACCGCAAGAATTCAGCAGCAGTTCTTGCTGCCCGTCCATCCAGCATCAGCCATTTGGAGTCTAGCTGCCGCCATTCTTGCTGTCCGCACCAGCCGCAGGATTCAGCAACAGATCTTGCTGACTTACTGCAGTCCAGACCAGACGCAGACTGTCCCCCGGCCCCATTCCTTCAGATTTGTGATCCCATCTCTCTATACAAACGCCAGCCTCCAATTTCCTAGCTTCATTATAGACTTTTTTTATGTGTTTATACACATAAAAAAAAAGAATACAATAACAACAGCATCAAATTTTTATCACACTAATATGGGTTGGCTGCATAAATCCTTTTCTTCATTGTGTCCTGTTAAAAGTCAAATTCTCATTTAAAATTAATAAAAAAATAATTATTTTTAAAATTTTCTAGCCAAATATTTTTAGGACTACATTTACCTTTCTTAAAAAATTAAACAAAAAATAACTGTAAGGAGCTTAGCATAGAGAAGTAACAAATATAATGGCTGAAATTAGGAATGAGAATTGAAACAAAGAAGAGACTATGGGTTAATAATGGGCATCAAGTCAATTCTGCCTTCAGGAGTTACAAATATAATGGCTGAAATTAGGAATGAGAGTTGAAACAAAGAAGAGACTGGGGTTAATAATGGGCATCAAGTCAATTCTGCCTTCAGGCTAGCTTTAGCACTGCTATCAATGAAGCAAGTCTTAGTTTCATTTATGTAGAATGGGATTCCAAGTTATAGGTTCCAGGCCAGAAAATGCTGTTAAAGGCATGAAAGATCATATTAACCTCCACTCGTTAAACCTCCAGATGCATAAGCAGTCCAGGATGCACGGGTATAACGAGTAAACCCACCTGAACTCCAAATAACTGCCGAGTGGGACAGAATTTAGAATCAAGGAGCCAGTCAAGGGAACCAATGGTGTTTTGGATGTGATATTCCCGCGGGCTTTGGAAAATCTAGGCAAAAGAATTGTACTTTTCTTTAAATGTCTTGAAATCAAACCATCAGAGCGTGGGTTAGAAAAAAGCATCATAGACTGATCATATCATCATCATCAACATGAATATCCTTCTACAACTATTGAGGGTAACGTTTATAAATCCTTATTCTCCATTTGTTTCAATTAAGTATTGCATGAGATTTTAAACCTATTTTGTGCTCTCTTTTTTCAGCATAACTTCAATTCATGTTATCTTTAATATACTATTTTTCATTTCTATTTTTTGGCACTAATTTTATATCTTATGATTATATTTTCTACTAATGCTATTTATGTAATATAATCATTTTAAATTTACCCCTCCTAATTTTATCATTCATCTTAATATTCTTTGTTTGTCACGCATAATTTGGCTATTAATGATGTTTATATCCTTCTTTTCTTCCTATCATAGAGTAATCATAAAAAGTACATAAAGGAAATAAAAGTATTGTCCTTCAATCAAGCATAAAGACGATAACAAAGAAAGATAAGTGCAATCTGAACAAAAGGGAAATAAGATAGTTGGGTGGCTATAGAATCAAAAAAGGTACTTCAATACCAAGTAAGCTATGTCCACGCAATACTAAGCTTAGCAGTGACTAGAACAAAAATAACACAGCTCTATAAATAATAATCAAAAGGCCTTGTTCCGTTCAACATATCTAATAAACATTTTACTGAATTTACATGGAGTCTTATCATAAAAATTAGAGAAAATATTTCTATCTGAAATATGAGGGAAAGATATTCTCAACTTATATCAAACTTAACCTTCTATGAACATGATCGCATTAGAGACACAAGTACACAATCCTTAACCAATGTAAAATCATCCAAAGAATTAAATTTGCATAAACACAGACAGGATACCTGTATTCAAAAAAAAGTCTTCTTCCATCAATAGCCAGACCATTCTCTCCAATACCATCCATCATGCTACAAGCAGCTTCCTGCATAGCATTAGTTTAGCAAATAATACAGTTGATATGTGGCTATAGTAAATGTTAATGCATCAGTTCATACCACAGAGGGGAAGTCGATAAAAGCGAAGCCACGGGAAACACCAGAATTGCGCTCTTTTATTACGCGCACATGACGAAGGGGTCCCCATTCAGCCTATAAAACAAAACAACTTTATTGAAAAGCAGTAGAAGGAATGCATAATAGGGGGAATCCTTTATAGGCAAAAAGAACATACAAGCATTTGATACAAGTCTTCCTCGGTTGTCTTCTGAGATAATCCTTTTACAACAACTGTTGCTGATGGAGACTGCAATTTCAAAATTACCTAAATATTAGCGATCTCTATAAGATATTGATAAAAAAGGCTGCAGTATTAACATAATAGATAAGAAAAATAATACCACAGATGAATTATTAAAGTGCTTCTCATCATGATCATAGTCCCATCGGTTCTCATTTCTATCATGCCGTCTGTCATCATAGATATCCTCTCTATAACTACGACCTCCATTTCGCCCTCTAGGAGATCTTGATCTTGACCGATCATCTCGTCCACGAGAACGAGAGTCATAGTGCCTATCATATGGGCTTTGACCTCTTTCCCAGCTCAAACCCCGCTTTTCTCGATCCTGTTCGCGAGAATCATGCCTTCGCCAACTACTTTCCCTTCTTCCTCTATCTTGATCAGACTCATATTCATACCGACCCGTATCATAATCTCTTTCCCTGCTATTTTCTCTACTTCCATAAGATCCTCGGTGCCTAAGATCATAATGGTCACCAATTTCATCACGGTCTCTAGTCCCTGACCTAGCATGCCTTTCAAACGCATAGTCCCGATAACCATCAGGATCATGATAGTTATCCATAGGGCGATACCTATCATGAAACCTGTCAATTTCATGAAATGAATCAATTTCATGATATTTCTTTGGGTCATGGAAGTTATCAATCTCATGATATGATGCAGTAGGTCTTCTAGAATCTTTGTTGAGACTATCTTCATCATCAAAATTTCTCCTTCGGGATTGAGGCCACATGCCAGAAACTGGCGCAGATGGATAAATATCTCGATCAAGCATCTCCCCTGAATATGCATTCCGCGAATATATTGACTCCCTTGAAAACCTTTCAACAGGAACCCTCCTACCACCAGATCCACCAGCCCTGCCAATTTAAGTGCAGTGAAGTGGAAAGAACAAAGCCAAGTAACGAGTGCATAAATAATTAGCAAAATTAATGGACTTCTAGAAATGATCACCTATATGAAGGATTAGCACATTATACAATATTTTCTATTTAACCAATACAAGTTCTAAGTAGAAATAACTAAAAAATTTATGAAGGATTAACAAATTTAAATTATTAGGAAACTAATATAGCCATCATAGAGAAAGTAAATAAGAGGCAACATGTCAAGACATTAAAAAATGTTCATACAACTAAAGTTTAACATGTTCTTACAAACTTCATCAGGCAGCAAAGGTGACTCACCTGAAATCCGGCTCATGCGCCGCACCATATCCCTCCAATGCCTGTAGATTAAACAGAATAAGTCATGTCAGCAACAAATCATTATGGAAGGAGTAGGGAAATCCATTCCATATCAACACTGGCGCACTGCTTCCAAGGATAGTTCTTTAAGGAGGCGATGCCAGTAAACATGGAGGGCAAGCACATGAGCCATTAAATCTTCTACATCATCCCTCATAACTAAAAAAGAAGAAAGCTGCAATTACGCTGTTAGTATCCCATCCTTGTTGTAGAACATAACGCCCCGGATCCATTTCTTTGAGTCTATGCCACCGCTATCCTGCAACTTGGAAGGGTCTTGATAACCTCTCACACAGATAAGTTGCACGGTGTTTGCATATCTGTCCTGTAATTGATGCACAAACAGATTGTTAAACAAATTTCAATGGAGAACCAACCCTCAAAAGTGGCCAACCACGTATTGGAATCTTCAAACCAAGACGTCCAATTAACATCCCATCTTCAGGCGTTTAGAACACAACCAGTAAAAGATTCTTATAATACAAAGCATTTTTTGCAACCAATCACTTCCACCTAGAGTTTATGAATAGGCAAAAGAAGATTTAAATGATATTGGATATTTTAGATAATCGCCACATAATAATGACAAGGATAATGCAGAAAATTTTGTTTTTAAGCTTACAAAAAGGACCACTGACTAAATCATAAATAAGCCAAAAACCAAATCTAGCTTGAAAATAAAGATCAAGCCATTAGGTGAAGATGAAACGTTGATCAAAATCAAAAATAATTCAAAAAACAAATCTAACTTGAAAATAAAAATCAAACCATTAGGTGAAGATGAACCATTGACCAAAATCATAAATAACCCAAAACCAAATCTAACTTGAAAATAAAGATCAAACTAGCATGTGAAGATGAAGCCATTAAGCAAAGGGATAAAGGCCTAGCAACAAAGATTACTAAGCAAGACAACTGCATTGTTAGACGAAACTGCAAAGGATGGTAGTTTTATAAAGAAATTTGAGTTTATTATAGAAAATTTTCTAGTTTCAATTTTAAAAATTTAAAAAAAAAAATTATGGAGTTTATTCGGAGCTTATAATAGAGTTGATGTAGACAACTAGATAGAAAAACCAAAAGGGAGAACACAATGGCTAGTAGAACTTTTCTCGATTCAAAATTTAGAAAGCCAACACCAACAAACCTCCAAAAAAACGAAAGTTAGACAAAAACGAAACTAAATTAAAAATAAAACAAGCTACACTCAGAACAACCAACTAGTCGTCACCTCACATGCAACGAAATAGTAGGTAAAATAAAAGAAGTGTTTAACGACATGCAAACCAAGGGTCCACCGCAATACTCCTCCGGCAAATGCTACCAAACCGGCCAACAACACTTTCAAGAGCTTGAGAAGAAAGATAGTGGGGTGGAAACTTGTGGAGAGTAGGTAAGAAACCCAAGACGAAATCGAAGAGAGGAGAAGAGAAGTGAAAGAAGCTCGCAAGCTTTCCCAAGAAGAAACCCTTAGGTTTTTAGAGAACTTTTATCAACAAACAACAACCTCTAAATGCTTCAAAACAACCCATATATATATATATATAGAGGTGAAAAAAGAAAGCCAAACAGCCCCAACCACCTTGAGCCGAACCAACCAAAAAAAGGGAGACAAAAGGTCAAAAGGCATTGCCTGGAGCAGCACCCGAAAGGTCATGCGGGAAACAGGAACGGACAGCCACGAGAACAAGAACAGCCAGCCACGGGAACAGGAGCCAGGCGGAGAAACTGAAGGCCAAACAGAGAGGGGAAGAACCAGGACCGCTCCAATTATAAGCTAAAAAGGTAGTTGAACTACATAGCAACATAATGAGCTGATTTTAGTAGAATAACACAGCAGCTCACCAAAGGGTCAGCTAAACCCAAGACAACCAAGCCAAAACCAAGGAACCAAATCAGCCCAAGAGCCAAGGCACCAAAGAAGCTAGCACACCCAAGGTAAAACATGTCCAGAGCACAACCTACTCATGATCATAGGTTGCCTTCCATCATAGGGTAGAAAATAAAAAAATAAAAAATAAACATAGCATTCAAATTACAATAGTTCAATAAAACTCAAAAAAAGATTTTAAATTTGCATGCATCGAGAGTTCACTTAGGAGCTAGCTTCCCTCTTTTATGGAGTTAGTTTAGGGTAGATTTAAATCTTTTCAAGTTGTGTTTTGTCATAACTCCATAAAATAAGGAAACCTCTTTTATATGTAATACCATGGTTTTAAAAGGCGAAATTGAGAATCAAGGCGTTTTGTCAAAGGGAGCCAAGGCGTAAGCCTCAAAAAGGTAAAATAAAGTACTAAAAATTTATAAATAACTCATAAAAATTTTATTAAGAAAATTATGAACATAATGACTTATTAAGTAAATGTTACTGAAACATAAGATTCAAAATAAATACTCATTGTTTGTCAAAAAATCTCAAATTTTCCATGTTAATGAAGGTTTAATACAAATCATAGTATAATTTAGCATCTTAAAAAAGAGAGAATTGGTTTCAAGAACTGTACTTTTGATGTAGTTTAAAACATCAATTATTTATAATTTTTAGGCGGTTCTTCCGCTTTGCACAAGGTTCTCAAAGTTTTTTATTCGACATAGTTTTGAACAAACAATGGCATAACTTCTGATATTTAATTAATAGGAAAAGCAATTTATCCAAGTATAATTCTATACCATTTTTCTACTACTTCTATGATATGCAGAATCTATGTTTCAGTATTGCTAGGCACATGCAAGTGCTATTGAGAAACGCATAAATGGAATTAAAATCAAACTATGAAATAATATTTGTACTCCTGATCAGACAGTTCAAGACAATAAAAATTCAACTTCGCACAAAGGAGGCGAAATGGGTCGAATGGGAAGAAAGCTCCTTACCTTCACAGTTCACATGACACAAGCGAAGCCAAAGCAACTCTCGAAAGGTTGAAAGATCATTACATTTGTTGTGAGCTCTTATTGGAACAAATCTTTCAAAACTCTACTTCTCGCGAAGTAGTCGAATCTGACACAAGTTCAAAAGGGAAGAAAGGTCGTTACCTTTGCTACAAAGAACTCAACTTGACACAAAAGAAGCGAAGTTGAAGCAAGTGAAGCCGAAGTAGTTTACACAAAGCGAAGAATCATTGCCTTCGCCGAGAGATGCCGAAAGAGGAGAAGGAACTTCTTGAACAATTGTCTAAGTACCCCTAAATATAATACGTGCAACTCGACCGAATTAAAAAAACAATAACAACAACAATTGAAATGAAATAGCGCCTCAAACTTCCTCAAGGCGTTACACCTCAAGTCGTACGCCTCAATAAAAAAAAAAGTCTAAGCCTTGCATGAATCAGTGAGGCTTAAGCCTCGAGGCATCCAAGTTGCGCCTCGAATCGAGGCGCACCTCAAGGCGTAGGCCTCAAACGCCCTTGTAAACCATGTATAATACAATTATATAAAATGTTTAATATATTTTATATTCCACTTTTTTGGGTTAATCGAGCAATAGATGGCTAGTGAGAGCATGATGCAAGCCAAGCAAGAGAGTAAGTATTGTGGTTGCAAGGACATGAGCAAGGAAAGCTATGAGTGGAGGAGTCTGCAAGTAGGAGAGGAGACTAGGGGTGTAAGTGAGTCGAGCCGGCTCAAGCTCAACTCGTTTATGGGCTCGCGAGCCGAGCTTATCGAGCTCGTTTAGTAAAAGAGCTCGAGTTCGAGCTTGATAAGGATCGGCTCGTGAGCTTGCGAGCCGACTCGAATAATTTTTAATTTTTTAAATTAAATAATTATTATTTTTTATTACATTTAAATCATTAAAAATAATTGGTTGTATTTAATTTATAAAAAAATAAAGATAAAGATGCATCTACAGAAGAACAATTCCCCAAAAACAAATACATTAAATATTTTAATATATTCCCAAGCCAGATGATGTCAAAAAACACAAGAGATCTTTTATCCATAGGAAAAAGTAACGGACAACTGAGAGTCATGCAGACGAGCGCCCCAAGGCGTCTGCAGTGTGGCTGGCTCGCTAGCCCAGAAATAAGGCGAGAAATGGCGAAGCTGGCTTGTCAGAAACCGGGCAGGAAATGAAGAAACCGGGTGGGCAGGAAATCAAATTTGAGCGGCTCGACAAGCTCGTTTATGCAACGCGAGTCGAGTTCGAGCTCGACTCGAGCTCGGTGTATGACTCACGAGTCGAGCTCGAACACCTCCTAACTCGAGCTCGACTCGACTCGTTTTCACCCCGATAGGAGACTAACTGCATGAGCAAAGGGTTTAGGGTAAAAAAAAAAATTCTATTTTACCAAAAAATTATTTACTTAATTTTCATTCAAATTTTTTATTTTCTTTTTTTTTACACTTTTTATTTTTATTTGAGGTTTCAAATTTTATTTTTATCTTTTTTCATTTTCTTTTAAATGCTTTTATTAGACAATGTGAATCCTAATCCTCAAGGCAAATTTAAATTTTCAATGAGTGCTTTCCTTGAATTTTATTTCGTGCTTTCCCTTTAGATTAACATTTACAATTTGAGATTTGTTTTCCCTTTCTTACTATGTGATTTCGAGATTTATGGTGACAAACAATGTTAATTTGTAAATGTTTTATGGCATATTTATGAATCATTTTTTAAGT